GTACAACGGTGTGGAAGCCTAGAAATTCTGTTTCTAGGCTGGTCTTTAGTAAGCTTAAGACAAGTGGCTAAATCACAGCTGATAGCCTAACTTTGATACCAATCAAACTGGAGTACTGAACCAGAAAAAAATTACCCTTAGCTGTCAGCAGATGCTGCCCTAAGGAATAAATTCTCCAGGAGGTAATCAACTTTGTGATGAGGCTCTGGTATACATAAAGTGAGATTTTAAACAATTTCTGCTGCTAGGATCGCCATTAAATGCATCTTGACACAAACCCTTCTAACGCAAAGGGAAGTACCTGGAATGGCCCACATTTTCTCAAGGAAGATCAGTATAAATTCTTTTAGATTATATTTACACCAACTTCTTACCACTTCCCCTCATCAGAAAAGTTTCCTAATTAAGTTGATTCAACTACAGGAAGTACTATGAACTTCTGAAATCGCATGTATGCATTTCAACTTGCGAAGACCATAGCGTATCAACAATGTCTGATTAGCTCTGTTGGAAGTATTAATTAATCATTGTATTTTTCCTTTTAAAGACAAAACCTTTGCTAAAAATAACAGCTCCTAAAAATGATGAGATGCACAAATTTCTTCTAATTCTAAAGCTTCCTTTTACCTGTCAGGTAATAGAAGATACCTTCTCTTTACACTTGAAATGATTAATGTATTAAAAAAAAAAAAAGCATTGAACATGGGCACAAAGAAATGTAAAGGTCATTGCAAAGCAAGAAGAGGGGAGGTAGAGGAGGGTAAAAACTTACTTATCAGGTACAATGAACACTATTCAAGTAATAGGCACACTAAAAGTCCTGACTTAAGCATTATAAAAGGTATCTGTGTAACAAAAACAATTTTACCCACCCCCCGCCTCCTTTTTTTGGAGACAGGGTCTCACTCTGTTGCCCTGGCTAAAGTGCAGTGGCATCATCATAACTCACTGCAACCTTCAACTCCTGGGCTAGAGCAATCCTCTTGCCTCAGCCTCCTGAGTAGCTCGAACTATAGGCACATGCCACCACGCCTGGCTAATTTTTCTATTTTTTG